GCAGGACAGACCCATCGGTTGTTGCGAATGAGCTGCTGTCGGTATGGTTTCTAACGCATATTTGTTGTCATGGCAACGACACATCCTCAGAGCTCGTCCTGAGGAGAGGCTGAGGGTTAAAGCTGCTCTCGGACCGCAGCGGGAAACAAACGGCTGATTTTTGATTTTAAACACTCAGAATAAACCCAGTGACCGTTTTTCTTGCTGTTTGTCTCATTTTCTCAAACATCTTTTCTGGTTCGATTGGAAGTTTTAAAGTTTTTATCGATTGTGAGCTCAGAAGTAAGGTCCAAAACTAAAACCACTTTTCATACGTTTTAGTATAGTTGTTAAAAATGACAGTTTCTGTCTGTCTACTTGTTTGTCTGTTTACCTACCTGTCTGACTGTCTACCTACCTGTCTGTCTGTTTACCTACCTGTCTGTTTACCTATCTGTCTGTCTACCTACCTATCTGTCTGTCTGTTTACCTACCTACCTGTCTGTCTGTCTGTTTACTTGTCTGTCTGTTTACCTACCTGTCTGTTTACCTATCTGTCTACCTACCTATCTGTCTGTCTGTTTACCTGTCTGTCTGTTTACCTACCTACCTGTCTGTCTGTTTACTTGTCTGTCTGTCTACTTGTCTGTCTGTTTACCTACCTACCTGTCTGTCTGTTTACTTGTCTGTCTGTCTACTTGTCTGTCTGTTTACCTACCTGTCTGTTTACCTATCTGTCTGTCTGTTTACCTACCTGTCTGTCTGTCTGTCTACTTGTCTGTCTGTTTACCTATCTGTCTGTCTACCTACCTATCTGTCTGTCTGTTTACCTGTCTGTCTGTTTACCTACCTACCTGTCTGTCTATCTGTTTACTTGTCTGTCTGTCTACTTGTCTGTCTGTTTACCTGTCTGTCTGTTTACCTATCTGTCTGTCTGTTTACCTGTCTGTCTGTCTACTTGTCTGTCCGTTTACCTACCTACCTGTCTGTCTGTCTACCTACCTATCTGTCTGTTTACCTGTCTGTCTGTTTACCTACCTACTTGTCTGTCTGTCTGTCTGTACCTGTCTGACTGTCTACCTGTCTGTCTGTTTACATACCTACCTACCTGTCTGACTGTCTGTTTACCTGTCTGTCTGTTTACCTACCTGTCTGTCTGTCTGTTTACTTGTCTGTCTGTCTACTTGTCTGTCTGTTTACCTATCTGTCTACCTACCTGTCTGTCTGTCTGTTTACTTGTCTGTCTGTCTACTTGTCTGTCCGTTTACCTACCTACCTGTCTGTCTGTCTACCTACCTATCTGTCTGTTTACCTGTCTGTCTGTTTACCTACCTACTTGTCTGTCTGTCTGTCTGTACCTGTCTGACTGTCTACCTGTCTGTCTGTTTACATACCTACCTACCTGTCTGACTGTCTACCTACCTATCTGTCTGTTTACCTGTCTGACAGCATTCAACACTCAGGAATTTCTTCTGCCTCCTCCCTTTAATAACCAGTTGGGGGCGCAAAACCAACCACAACGTTCTGTGTGCAGAACATCGACATTAATATACAGATATCCAGGATATATATATATATATATATATATATATATATATATATATATATATATATATATATATATATAATATACATATACAGGGTGCAGTAGCAGAGTGAGTGTGCGCCGACAGCCATCTGAGGATGTTTTACCTGTTCACCTGTACGAGTATCTAGGCATGCAGGAACAGGAGAACATGTTCAAGTCTAAAACACACACACACATCAGAGGGCCTCAGACATTTTAATTCCAGTGCCAGTTTTTTACATTTCATATATTTTAAGACAAGTAGATGTTTTCAGAGAGCAGTGAGTGAAACGTTCTGAGAGGAATGAGTCCATGGTGCTGCAGGTCTTCAGGCTGGTCCCAGCTGTCTTCCCGAGGACACGAGAGGACTTCCATAAATGTCTCTGCTGCTTTACAAAGAGATCCGCAGCAGAAAGTTTGAACTGATATTTATTTTTAAGGAAATAATTTCATAAAACGGAGCAGATATTTAGACTGAACGACAGAAACACGGTTTATAACGGCTCATCATCTCCAACGATGATGTCAGAGATTACATGAGACAAGATAAAAAAAAGAATCAGGATAAGAGATCAAACTGGAATATACTGGACTTTACGGCGACGTAAAGGGGCGTGTCATGACGTAAAGGGGCGTGTCTTCTGCGGTGAATCCCGTACGGAAAAAACAGGAAACAGGAAAATATCTTTAAAATAAAAGTATTCAACTTTCAGGTGACCTACTTTACTATCTGTTGAAGTTAAGTTAGTCAACCCCAGCCGAGTGTGAAGCAGCTGGGATGAGAATCAGCTCCTCTAAATCTGAGACCATGGTCTTGATTCGGAAAAGGGTAGAATGCCTTCTCCGGGTCAGGGATGAGGTCCTGCCCCAAGTGGAGGGGTTTAAGTATCTCGGGGTCTTGTTCACGAGTGAGGGAAAACTGGAGAGCGAGATGGATAGGTGGGTTGGTGCTGCGTCTGCAGTGATGCGGGCGTTGTACCGGTCTGTCGGGGTGAAGAGAGAGCTGAGTCAGGAGGAAAATCTCTCTGTTTACCGGTGGATCTACGTTCCTACCCTCGCCTATGGTCATGAGCTTTGGGTAGTCACCGAAAGAACGAGATAACCTTGTATTTATTTTACACTTAAATACAATTTAAGCATTAAATTAACTTATTTCTATGGCATTTGTTTTGTATTTTATTTCAGACTTTCCAACGTGTCAGAGTTAAGTACCGTGACTCAGATTTTACTGCTTGATATTTTGCTGTTTCACGGGAAAAATAAGAACTCAGTCAAAAGCTTTTTTACTCGGAAATATGAGTTCTGATTGTTTTGTTGTTGTGGATTAGCTGGACTTGGCTTTTATTGTGAAAGATCAAGCGGAAGCAGCTTGTGCTAACAGCTACTAGCTTGTACATGCTAATCATTACGATTCACTTGGCGATTTTTCTCGGCATAACAGAGAAATTACCCGATAGAGGCGCAGATTGGAGGTCTGATGCAACATGGAGAAGGAAAACGGGACGGTGGCGGTTAGAAGGTAGAGTTTATACTTCAGTTGAACAATAAAATGCTTCGAATATCGAGTTTTGATCGGTGTCCCGACGCTGCTACCGGAGCGGACAGCTGCTGCTGGTTTCTGCACGGCACTGATTGGAAAGTCTGGATTAAATGCGCATTTCAGTTCTTTTAATCTCATGTCTTAAAATGTAATCAGATTTTATTTCCTAGCAGCAGAAAGTCGGGCTCGTTTAATAAGATCGCACATGTTTTTGCTCCTGCTGCGTGTCTTTGTTCAGTAATGGAGGCTTCGCGTCCATGTTGTTGAGATTTCTCAGCCAAGTGTTCACGTTCACGCGTTCACTCCCGACACGGAAACGTTCACGCGTTCACTCCCGACACGGAAACGTTCACGCGTTCACTCCCGACACGGAAACGTTCACGCGTTCACTCCCCGACACGGAGCAGCGTGTTTTCAGAACGAGCCTTTTGGAAATGGAACAAAATATTTCAGATTCATGTTTAACTAACACACACACACACACACACACACACACACACACACACCACACACACACACACAGGTTTGTGTTCAGGAGTTAAACAACATTTGATCAGATTGTTGCTTTCAGGTGTTTGTGGAGCTAAAGTCACTGATTTGTTCTGCTGAGAGAAGAAAATAATATCCAGATAATTTATTAATGATTATTAATACAGAAATAAACTCCAGCTTCGTGACGTGGGCTGATTCAGCTGAGAGGAATAATCTAGAGAAGAATTCTTGTAGTTTTTCCACATCTCATAAAATAAAGTCAGGGCTTTTCTAGATCAAGCACCAGGTTGTTATGGAGGCTGGTGTGTTTCCTGGTGTGTTTCCTGGTGTGTTTCCAGGTGTGTTTCCTGGTGTGTTTCCTGGTGTGTTTCCAGGTGTGTTTCCTGGTGTGTTTCCAGGTGTGTTTCCAGGTGTTTTTCCTGGTGTGTTTCCTGGTGTGTTTCCAGGTGTGTTTCCTGGTGTGTTTCCAGGTGTGTTTCCTGGTGTGTTTCCAGGTGTGTTTCCTGGTGTGTTTCCAGGTGTGTTTCCAGGTGTGTTTCCAGGTGTGTTTCCTGGTGTGTTTCCTGGTGTGTTTCCAGGTGTGTTTTTCTGTGTGTTTTTCCTGGTGTGTTTCCTGGTGTGTTTCCTGGTGTGTTTCCAGGTGTGTTTCCTGGTGTGTTTCCAGGTGTGTTTCCTGGTGTGTTTCCAGGTGTGTTTCCAGGTGTGTTTCCTGGTGTGTTTCCAGGTGTGTTTCCTGGTGTGTTTCCAGGTGTGTTTCCAGGTGTGTTTTTCCGTGTGTTTTTCCTGGTGTGTTTCCTGGTGTGTTTCCAGGTGTGTTTCCTGGTGTGTTTCCAGGTGTGTTTCCTGGTGTGTTTCCAGGTGTGTTTCCAGGTGTGTTTCCAGGTGTGTTTCCAGGTGTGTTTCCAGGTGTGTTTCCTGGTGTGTTTCCAGGTGTGTTTCCTGGTGTGTTTCCAGGTGTGTTTCCTGGTGTGTTTCCAGGTGTGTTTCCTGGTGTGTTTCCAGGTGTGTTTCCTGGTCCACAAGAATAAGGATTCATCCCTGTAGGTCAGTTAGGATAAACAAACAGGAAATGGTTCAGCGGTAGAAGGATCTTTGTTGTGAAACAGGTGTGGGTTAGGGTTAGTGTGTGTGTGTGACGCAGGAACAGAAACGACGCAGAAGCCTGCTGCTGACGCGTTTACACACACAAGTTTTACAGGCTAAACACACTAATCAAAGCTGGAAATGCATCTGATGACTCACAGGTGATCCATCTGAAACGGATCAGGTGCTAAGCTCTCATTCCTGCTGGAAGCGGACCTCTGCTTCCAGAACCATCCTTGTCAAAGCCGTTCACTACTGTAAAACTACATGAATGTGTTTGTTTGCTGTAACGCTTCAGGATGAACCATACTCGCATCATTACCACCCATTCCTCTGTTTGTAAGACAAAAGCATGAACACTCTTCATGGTGGCGGTGGAGCGGTGGGCGTGTCGGCTGTCTGCAGGAATTCAGCCCGAGCAGATCAGGAACGTCCCGCTTTCTGTCTGACCGCATGAAGCCCGAGCTGTTTGTTTCTGCGATCCAGCTTCATTCAGGAAGCTGAAACATCTTTTAGAGGATTGGATTTGCAGAAATCTGAGACGTTTAAGTGTTTAAAATATCCGAGTGGCCCCTGGGAGCGGCTCGGAGAGGAAAACACATTCCTGCTCCAAGCCCCGAAGCCTGGCCCTGTGCGTGTGTGTGTGTGTGTGTGTGTGTGCGTGTGTGTGTGTGTGCGTGTGCGCGTGTGCGTGTGTGTGTGTGTGTGTGTGTGTGTGTGTGTGTGTGTACTTCAGTATGAAGCTGCTGTTTGTTGACGCTCTCTCTTGTTTTTGTTCTTTGAGCAACGCGGCAGCACTTCCTGTCCTCTGCACGCGGCGTTCTTGTGGTTTTATCTACGTCGCTCTGCCAAGTTCAGGTCAGGCGTAATAAGTTGGCAGGAACACACCTGTTGCATCACCTGTAGCCTGGGTGTCAGCGCACCAAAGAGGGTGTGTAAAATAACACTCGGGTGATGTTTCAGAAGCATCGCTGCTCGTGTGTTCGGTGCTTTTAGGCAGAGTCGAAAAAGTCTTCAGATGGACTCGGGAAGTAAACCCGTGGTGGGGGTGCCTGATTACCAGAGTCTTGGGTCTTGACCTTTGACCCTGATTTAAGTTCGTGGCTGCAGAAGTTTTCTAAAGATTAAAAACAAAACTGGAGGCCGTTGGCTGCAGACTAGGAATGTTTCTGCTGGAGGTCTTTGGACCATCGGTCATCGCCACGCACACACACACACACACACACACACCACACACACACACACACACACACACACACACACACACACACACACCACGCGTCAGCTGCATGCACCGAGGCTCATGTTTAGATCCAACAGCCTTGGGAGTTTGGAATCACTTCCCACTGGATCGGATTTCAGCAGGGCTTCTGCTCCTGCATCAGAACCCGTTAGAACTCTGGAGAACCCTTCTGGGTCTGAGCATCAGTACCCAACTACTGCTGGTGAGACACACGGTGCTTTTCAGCAACCAACACCAAAGTCTGATCCTATCAGGAATTTTTCTACACGCTGGGAGCGTCGGAGTGAATGCCCCCCCCCCCCCCCCCCCCACACACACACACACACACAGTTCAGCGACGCCCTTCAGCAGACGGTTGCTCCTGTGTTTGAGCTTGGAACGCAGCAGAGGAGGAGGAAGAGGCCGCTCCAGACTTCCCACCATAAGTCAGAAAAGCTGCTGGTATTTTTCCACTGGCTGAACAAAAGGACGTGTTCCTTTTTTCGTGGACATGGATGTGTAGCGGGAATGTCGGCCCCACCATGAAGACCGGAGAAAAGCGGATCACGCAGAAGCTTTAAACACTTTCCTGGATCATTTATAAGAACATCAGAAACGTTTTTGGCTTCTGAAGTTTCTGAATTAAAATAATAATAAAAAACAGAAAAATTAAACCTAACAACACATTTGATGTTGAAACTTTTATTATTACACTCAATATTCTCTGCTACCCAGCCCACCCCCCAGGCTGAGCTCTACTCACGTCTCCATGGCAACCAGCTCCACAGATGGAGGAAAGCTGGCTCAGGAGAACTTCAGTAGATGACTCAGACGTAAACAAACCAGTTTTATTGCAGTTCAGTTTTCCAACCAAGGAGTGACGAAGAGGAGTTTTCATAGAGCGCCTCGCAACGCCACAGTCACGAGGTTCTTCACAAGAACAATACAACTAAGAACGGTCATAAAAATGGGACAACAAAAGAAAATTCAAGATTTAAAAATGAGAATAGAAATAGAAAAAAGAAGCCTAAAAAATACAGAATCTATGGAAGTAGCAGCATGACGAGAAGCTAGCGAGGAAGAGGAGGTCGCACCCAAACCTGAACAGGTGAGTTTAAAGGAGACCACTGAGTCCACTGATCTCAGGCTCAGGGGGAGAGAGGTCCAGAGTCTGGGGGCCACAGCAGCAGATGATCTGTCACCTTTGACCTTTAGCCTGGTGCTGCACAACCAGTAGGCTTTGATCACTGGACCTCAGGGACCTGCTGGGGGTGTAGGGACTAAGAAGATCACCAATGTAAGATGGTGCTTGTCCATGTAAGGCCCTATAGACCAGAACCAGGATCTTGAAATGAACCCTGAAGTTGACTGGCAGCCAGTGAAGCTGGAGGAGAAGCGGGGTGATGTGGGTGTGTTTGGAGGACTTGGTCAGAAGCCGAGCACAGGCGTTCTGAACCACCTGTAGACGGTTCAGGGAGGTTCTGCTCAGACACGTGAAAAGAGAGTTACAGTAGTCTAAGCGTGAGGAGATGAAGGTGTGGAGAACCGTCTCAAGTTCAGAGCGGGACAGAATGGGACTCAGCTTAGCAACGTTCCTGAGATGGAAGAAGGAAGAGCCAACAAGAGAACTGACATGAGAATCCAGGGTGAGAGCTGGGTCAAAGGTCACACCAAGATTCCTGACAGATGATTTGGTGTGGGAAGCAAGCTGACCAAGATAGTCTCTGACTTTGGGAACCAGCTTGTCTGGGGCACAGATGAGGATCTCAGTCTTATCTTCATTCAGAATCAGATTTACTGCCATGTAGGCGAGAGGCTCATCTACTAGGAATTTGTTTCAGTGGCAAGGTGCAAACGTACATTCAGGTCAGAGTCAGGTCGGGCAGTTTTACATCAGGATGCATCAAATAATCAGAAAAGAAACATCGCCAGAAAGCAATCATAAGTGTAGGAATGTGGGTGACCGGGGCATTTCTGTGTGTTTTGGTCATTCGTCGGTTGTTCGGGATCTTTGTGGTGTGAGGTTCTAGTCTGTAAGGACCTGAACCTCCTCTGAAGGCAGGGTCTCAAACAGCCCATAGAGGAGCTGATTCTCATCCCAGCTGCTTCACACTCGGCTGCAGACCGCTCCAGCGAAAGCTGAAGATCACGTTCTGATGAAACCAACAGAACCACATCATCT